TATTTTAAGAAACTTTCCATCATTACCTAATTTATTGAGAGTTTTTAGCATAATGGGTTGTTGAATTTTACTGAAGGCCATTTCTGCATCTATTGTGATAATTATGCAGTATTTGTCATTAGTTCTGTTTATGTGATGAATTACATTTATTGATTTCAGTATGTTGAACCAGCATTGCATTCCAGGGAAGAAACTGACTTGATCATAGTGGATAAGCTTTTTGATGTGCTGCTGTATTCAGTTTGTCAGTATTTTATTGAGGATGTTTGCATAGATGTTCCTCAGGGATATTGGCCTGAAATTCACTTTTTTTGTTGTGTCTCTGCCAGGTTTTGGTATCAGGATGATGCTGGCCTCATAAAATGAGTTAGGGAGGTGTCCTTCTTTTCCTATTGTTTGGAATAGTTTCAGAAGGAATTGCACCAACTCCTTTTGTACCTCTGGTAGAATTCAGCTGTGAATCCGTTTGGTTCTGAACTTTTTTTTTTTTTTTTTTTGGTTGGTAGGCTATTAATTACTGCCTCAATTTCAGAATGTATTATTGGTCTATTCAGGGATTTGACTTCTTCCTGGTTTAGCCTTGGGAGGGTGTATGTGTCCAGGAATTTATCCATTTCTTCTAGATTTTCTAGTTTATTTACATAGAGTTTATAGTAATTTCTAATAGTAGTTTGTATTAGTGTGGGATCAATGGTGATATCCCTTTATCATTTTTTTACTGTGTCTATTTGATCCAATTCTTTTTTCTTTTCTTCTTTATTAATATTGCTAGCAGTCCATGAATTTTGTTGATCTTTTCAAAAAACCGACTCCTGGATTCATTGATTTTTTGAAGGGTTTTTTGTGTCTCTATCTCCTTCAGTTATGGTCTGATCTTAGTTATTTCTTGTCTTCTGCTATCTTTTGAATTTGTTTGCTCTTGCTTCTCTAGTTTGTTTAATTGTGATGCTAGTGTGTCAATTTTAGATCTTTCCTGCTTTCTCCTGTGGGCATTTAGTGCTATAAATTTCCCTCTAAACACTGCGTTAGCTGTGTCCCAGAGATTCTAGTACGTTGTGTCTTTGTTCTCATTGGTTTCAAAGAACTTATTTATATCTACCTTAATTTCATTATTTACCCAGTAGTCATTCAGGAACAGGTTGTTCAGTTTCCATGTAGTTTTGTGGTTTTGAGTGAGTTTCTTAATCCTGAGTACTAATTTGATTGCCCTTTGGTCCGAGAGACTGTTTGTTATTATTTCCGTTCTTTTGCATTTGCTGAGGATTTTTTTACTTCCAAGTATACGGTCAATTTTAGAATAGGTGCGATGTGTTACTGAGAAGAATGTATATTCTGTTGATTTGGGGTGGAGAGTTCTGTAGATGTCTATTACATCCACTTGGTCCAGAACTGAATACCCTTGTTAATTTTCTGTTTCGTTGGTCTGTCTAATATTGACAGTGAGGTGTTGAAGTCTCCCACTATTATTGCGTGAGAGTTGAAGTCTCTTTGTACATCTCTAAGAACTTGCTTTATGAATCTGGGTGCTACTGTATTGGGTGCATATATATTTAGGATAGTTAGCTCTCCTTGTTGCATTGATCCCTTTACCATTTATATAATGCCCCTCTTTGTCTTTTTCTTCTTTGTTGGTTTAAAATCTGTGTTACCAAAGACTAGGATTGCACCCCCTGATTTTTTTTCCTTTCCATTTGCTTGGTAAATATTCCTCCATCTGTTTATTTTGAGCCTATGTGTGTCTTTGCATGTGAGATGGGCCTCCTGAATACAGCACACTGATGGGTCTTGACTCTTTGTCCAATTTGCCAGTCTGTGTCTTTTAATTGGGCCATTTAGCCCATTTACGTTTAAGGTTAATAGTGTTATGTGTGAATTTAATCCTGTCCTTATGATGCGAGCAGGTTATTTTGTCCATTAGTTGATGCAATTTCTTTATAGTGTCGATGGTCTTTACAATTTGATATGTTTTTGCAGTGGCTGGTATCAGTTTTTCCTATCCATGTTTAGTGCATCCTCTTATAAGGCAGCCTGGTGGTGATAAAATATCTCTGCATTTGTTTGTCTTTTAAGAAACTTTTTTTAGTAGTTGCCCTACATTTTGCAATATACATTTATAAATAATCTAAGTTAACTTTCAAATAACAGTATGCCACTTCATGGGTAGTGTAATTATCTTATAAAAATAATTGTAATTTATTTCTCTTATCTCTTATATTATTGCTGTCATTCTTTTTATCTAGACATAAACATACACGCGCGCACACACACACACACATATATATATAGAGAGAGGCATAATCATACACAATCATATACATTGTTGCTATTACTATTTTGAACATATTTTACTGTTCCATAAATTAAGAAAAAAATACAACTTTTTATTTTATCTTCCCTTATTCCTTCTCTGATGTTCTTAAATTCCTTGTGTAGATTCAATTATTTATATATATATACATGTTATTTCTCCCTCTCCAAAGAAATTTTTAAATATTTTTTGAAAGGCTAATCTATCTACTAGCACAAACATTTCCTCAATGTGGTTTGTCTGAGGAAATCTTTAATTTCTCCTTCATTTTTTAACCAGTTATTTCACAGGTTATAGAATCCTAGGTTGGTAGGCTTTTCTTGTTTTTGTTTTCTCTCAACATTTTAAGTAGTTCACTCCACTCTCTTTCTGTTTACACAATTTCTCAGAAGTAGTTGAATGTAATTCCTGTTTATGCTTTTTTAAAAATTTTTATTTTTAAGACAGAGTTTTGTTCTTGTTGCTCAGGCTGAAGTGTAAGGGCACGATGTCAGCTCACTGAAAACTCTGCCTCCCAAGTTCCAGTGATTCTCCTGCCTCAGTCTACCAAGTAGCTGGGACTACAAGTGCCTGCCATCATGCCTGTCTAATTTTTGTATTTTCAGTAGAGATGGGGTTTCTCCATGTTGGCCTAGCTGGTCTCGAACTCCTGACCTCAAGTGATCCGCCTGCCTCGGCCTCCCAAAGTGCTGGGATTACAGGTGTGAGCCACTGCACCTGGCCTTGCTTTTTTAAATGTATGATTTTTTTTCCTCACTGTGACTTACATTTAGATTTTTTTTTCTTTATCTTGATTTTCTTAAGTTTGAATATGAGATGCATAGGTGGTGTTTTTTCTTTTCTTTTCTGTTTTTTGGTGGGGGTGGGCATTTATTCTGCTTGGTGTTCTCTGCTCTTCCAGGATCAATGGTTTGGTTTCTGACATTAATTTCTATACATTCTCAGTCATTATTTCTTCAAATATTTCTTCTGTTTTTTATTTTTTCTCTTTCTGTTATTTCAATTAATTATATACTATGTCTTCAGTTATTTCATAGTTGTTCAATATTCTGTTTTGGTGGGCTTGTTTATTTTTTTTTTTTGGCTTTTTTCTGTTAGAATTTTAGTTTGAATAGTTTTTATTGAGATATTCTAAACTTCAGAGATTCTTTTTCAGCTCTGTTCAATCTACTAGTAAGCCCATCTAAGACATTTTTTATTTCTTTTACTCTGTTTTTTAGTTCTAGTACATCTTTTTTTCTTCTTAGAATTTCTATCTCTCTGCTTACATTACTCTTTCTGTTTTTGCATGTTATTTGCATTATCAATTAAGGTTCTTAGCATAGCAATCATAGTTGTTTTAAAAACTCTATCTGATAATTTCAACATATCTGCTGTATCTGAGTCTAATTGTAGTGCTTGTTCTGTTTCTTCAAACTGTGTTTTTGCCTTTCAGTGTGCCTCATGAGTTTGTTCTTGCTAGCCAGACATGCTGTACTGAGTAAAAGAAAATTGTAAGTAGATCTTTACTAATGTAGTGATAACATGTGGAAGGAAGTGAATCATTTCATAGCGTTTTGATTAGGTCTCAGTCACTTAATAAACTTTAACCTCTGGACTATGAACTTCACCAGTGTTTCTCAGTTTCTCCCACCCAACTTGAGTAGGACAGGGTGGCTAGAGTGGGCTGGAGTTGTATATTTTCTTCATTCACATGGAAGGCTAGAGTTTGCTAGAGCTGGGTCTTCTCATCCTCCCAGGTCACTTAGGAACTAATAAATCCTCATCAGATTTGTCTCTGGTTAAATGATTTCTCTTGAGGGCAGACTTTGTTAAAAACAGAATGCTGCAGCAGATTTCAAAATGGTTTTTTTCTCCTTTGCCCCCTGCCAGAAGCATGAGGAAACTTTTTTCTGGTATTCACTGTGAGAAACTGGTAGAGCTCTTGGGGGAAAACCATGAAAAGTTGGGTGTCTCCTCATGACTAGAGATTTTATCCCCCAGACTTGTCCACACAGAACCTCCAGCAATTTACTGATTACTGTATAGGCATTCTTACCCTGGCACTAGTTTCAAAGGAAGTTTCTGCTGGTCAGTTCCATTCCAGTAAGTTGAGATTCTTTGTATTCAACTGTTGGTATCTCCAATTTTGGTGCCAGCAGTTTGTCCTGTGACCTTCCTTCTCTAAGGTATCTTAGAAAAGTCATTTCTTTTTTGTTTTGTTTTGTTTGTTTGTTTTTAGTTAGTTCCACTTTTTACTTAGTTTTAAGACAAAGTGGCAACTACCAACCTGCTTACACTATGGACAGGAAACTGGAAATATGTGCCTTTATTTTTAACAGAATATAGTACTAAAAAAAATGGACTGAGCATAACAATTTTTTTGTTTATTGTTTTGTTTTAACTTATGCATAGATATTTAAATATAGAGTTTTAACAAATGATAAACAATTCTGAATTACTTACAATAGAGAATACATTCTTATCAGTAAAGTTTTTCTATTTAATTGATAATACTATTTCCTTGAACTTTGTGTTTTTAAATCATAATCTATGTTTTTGTATCCATATTTAATTCATTATTTTATATACATATATACACACACATATGTACTTAGATTCTTATTGGTATTTTTGTATTTCTCTCATGATATTTGAAGAAGTAATTTTAGACATTTTGAAAAATTTACACAAAAAACAGGGAAATCTTAGATGTCACCTAGTTCTAATTTATTCTTGTTTCCTTTGAGAATGCATTTCTCTGAGAATATCTTGGTAATTGTTTATGTCATGTTCGATTTCCTTTTAGAGCTTAAAGATAAACAATGATTTACTAGGGGTATGTCTTTCAGGCTTAAGAAAATGAATATACTGAAACGTGTTGACATATGAGATGAATTTTTCTCTGCTAGCACTGTGTCCAGTCTCTAGTCTTGCTTTATAATTAATTAACTGTCAGATCTGCTAAACTTCCATGAAGACACTACACAGATGTCATGGCAAATTGTTCTTGAAATTAAGATCTGAACTGGGAATGTTTTTCATACTGACCTTACAATTCTCTTTATTGATTTTGCTGTCATTTTCACCTGTTAAGAACAGAAATAAATGGAAATGGTACTTTATTTGTTTCTAAGAAAAAATGTAATATAATATTTGAAGAAAGAGTTTAGTCTTTATAGAAAATCATATATATGTATATATATGACTTTGAGTTCTTAAAATTAAAGTTATCGTGTAAATCTAAGACAATAAATTATACAGTTTAGATAATATATAATATTTAAAATAAATTTGTAACATAAAGCCATTGAGGATTCAAATGGAATAAACGTTTGGCACAACGTTTTTCAGCTTGCCCTTACTCTAAGTTACTAGAACATATTTTACCTTATTTATTTTCTATTAATATGTTTAATATTGATTTTAGTTGTTGAAAAATCAATATAAATATTAATATTCCTTATCCAAGGTCTGATATATATATTAGAGTTGTTTAACAAATAAAATATTCTTCTCACTGCAGTAGAATAGCCTGAATTGATAAGAGATTATTAACATTTTGAGAACATATTAAGTGGAGAATATTTAATATGTTATTATATAGTCATTTCTAGAGTAATATGCCATATTTTTATGTTTATTGCAATTATAAATTTCTTCTTAATTTTTTTTTTATTTCAGTAACTTTAAGGGTGCAAGTGATTCTTGGTTACATGGATAAATTTTACAATGGTAAAATCTAGAATTTTTAGTGTGCCCATCACCTGAGTAGTGTACATTATACACATTAGGTAGTTCTTTTCCCAATAAACACTCTATAAGAATGTTCTGATTACATTTAAAGTTTCATAGAAATATAACTTTATGAATGTATATCATTCCATTGAATTCATTATAGTATACTAGTATGATGTCATTAAGATAATAGCACATATTTGAGTACTTATTTTTATGAAGGCAGTTCAATATAAAGTACAGTTTAATTCTGGGCATAGATCTTGAAGAATATAGAATGCTTAATTCCCAAAAGCATATAAAATTATCTATTTTCTTGGCTCACCTTAAACATTAAGATATATTTTAAAATATTTGTTTATTTTTACAAATGGCATATTTTAAGACTGATAGTTTAATATAAATGAAATATAAAATGTTATTCCGATGGTCTATTCATTATATTAATGTAATGATATATTCATATGCCAGTTTCCTCTCATAGCAGGTTTGAACTTATTTTTTGTGTGATTTTGGTTTTGCTTTTGGTTATTTACTTCAGTCTTACCACCTAGAAGAATCTGCTAGGAAACATGAAGAATATTTGAAAGTGAAATCAGTATAGGGAAGATATCAGAAGACTAAACGGGGAGAATATGGTGAGTTAAGATAAACTAGAGTAGAAGTGAGTGTACTTGGGGGAATGTAAAATATTTATGTGGCTTTTCTCCTTGCATTTGCCAGCATGAATGCAGGGGCATGAAAGTCTGAATAGGGCTTTCAACCATCACCTGGGGCTTAGAAAATAAAAATTAGAGTTCAGGATATGTCAAAAAGGGCCACATTGTAGAGTGGGTAGTAATCCATTCAAAAGCACAGCACTAACAAACATTAAACTTCAGATTTAAATCAATTCAATTATTGATTCAAAAAAGTTAATGTGACCTTACCATAACTCCTGGCCAAAAGAAAATATCACTTCTTTTGGGAAGAATATAACATCATTTAGATCCTCAAATGAATGCTACACATGCTCAAACCAAGTGTTTAACAACCAATAAAAATAACCAAGTATGCAAAAAGAACAAAAGTACAAAAAGGAGAAAGAAAAATAGAAGGGGAGGGGCCAAAATGACTGATTAGAAGCAGTTGCAGTCTGCAGCACTCAAGGACAGGAACAAAATGGCTCAATGAATACAGTATCTTCAACTGAAATATCCATGTTCTCGCATTGAGACTGATTAGGGAAACAACTTGACCCACAGAAAATGAAGAAAAGTAGGGTGGAGAGATAGCACACCCAGGAGTGACATGGAGCCAAGGAAAGTGGTGAGTGATTGTGCAAACCCAGGAAACCACGCTTCTCCCACACATCTTTGCAACCCATGAATCAGGAGATACCCTTGTGAGCAACCCTACCAGAGTGTTTGGTCCAACACACAGAGCTGTGTGGAGTCTTGGCAGAGCTGCTGCTCAAGAATGCACGGAGACTCAGGAACTTTACATTATCTGGCCCTGAGATCCTCAGGAAACATGTCTGCAACTCAGGCAAGGCGGGAGGCCCACACTTATCCCTAGGAAATAGGTGGAATCCAGGGATCCAAGTAGCATCATTCTTCTGGTCTCAATTCCACAGTACCTCACAAGGTAAGACACATTGTTTTCAAATTCCAGCCAGCTACCAGCAACAGTGTGGACCCTCCCTAAGACCTGATGGAGTCCCAGAGGGAGGCGTGGGTATCATCTCTGCCATTTGGTTGACTCAGTTGTCCAGCCTGCAGCATTTGGAGAGTCCAAATGGTCCAGACAAGGAAAGGCCCCCCAATCAGCACAGTACAGTGGATTTACCAGATCATGGCCAGACTGCTTCTTTAAGTTGGACCCCGATCCATTTCTGCTCACTGGGTGAAACCTCCCAGCCAGGCCCTCCAGCCATGTCCACCTGCACGTATTAGGGACAGAACTCTGATCTCTCCCTGGGAAGGAGTGCCTGGGGGCAGGGGATGGTGGCCACCTGGGTTGGTTGGATGACTCAGTTGTTCCAACCAACCTCCTCCCCAACAGGGGCAGAGGAGGTTCCCCACCATGACACAGTTTCCCCACCACGATACAGCTGTTTTCTTGAAGCATGGACAGACTGCTCCTTTAAGTGATTTACTCCTTCTCATGGAGTGGGTTCTCCCAGCCAGGTCCTCCCAGTAGGGGTCTCCAGCCACCTGATCTGTATTCTGTGGGGCAGACAGAGCTCATATTTCTCCCTGGGATGAAGTGTTTGAGGGGCAGAGAAGGCCACCTCCTAGATCACTGGGGCTTCACAGCCCGTTCAACCTGTGGGCCTTGGAGAATCCAAATTCTTCATGAGATGAAGGAATCCCCAAAACAGCAAAGTTGCTCTCCCCGAAAAAACTACCAGAATACCATTTTAAGTGGGTTACTGACCCTGTTCTTCCTAAGACCTCTAAACCGGGGTCTCTAACCACCTCCTACAGGTGCATTCAGGCAGGCAATAGATCAGTACCCTCCTGGGACAGAACTTGCAAAGGAAGGGGAATGCTGTCATCTGTGCTGTTTCACACCCTTCACTGGTGATACCTCCAGGTATGGGACAAACTGAGGCAACTAGGGTCTGGAGCAGACCCCCAGCAAACTGCAACAACCCTATGGAAGAGTGGCCAGACTGTTAGAAGAAAAACAAATGAACCTAAAACAATAACCACGACAATAGAACGCCCCCCCCACACACACACAGAAACTCTCCAAAGATCAGCAACCTCAAAGATTGAATGTAGATAAGCTCAGAAAGATGAGAAAGAATCACAAAAAGGCTGAAAACTCAAAATGTCAGAGTGCCCCTTTTCCTCCAAATGACCACAGTACTTTTCCAGCAGGGGGCTCAGAGCTGGCATTAGGCTGAGATGGCCGAACTGATAGAAGTAATCTTCAGAAGGTTGGGTATCGATGAACTTCCCTGAACTAAAGGAGCATGTTGCAAAACAATTCAAAGAAGCTAAGAATGATTGTAAAACAACACAGGTGCTGACCATCAAAATAGCCAGTTTAGAGAGGAATATAACTGACTTGTTAGAGTTGAAAAATACATTACAAGAACTTCACAATGCAATCACAAGTATCAGTAGCAGAATAGACCAAGCAGAGGAGAGAATCTCAGAACTTGAAAACTATCTTTCTGAAATAAGACAAGTGGAAAATAATAGAGAATAAAGAATGAAGAGGAATGAAAAAACCCATGGAGAAATATGGGATTATGTAAAACGACCGAATCTATGACTAATTGGGGTATCCGAAAGAGATGGGGAGAATGGAACCAAGCTGGAAAACATACATCAGTGTATCATTCAGGAGAACTTTGCTAACCTAGAAGGACAGGCCAACACTAAAATTCAACAAATGCAGAGAACCTCGGTAAGATATTCTACAAGAAGATCATCCCCAAGGAAAATTATTGTTAGATTCTCTGAGGTCAAAAAGAAAGAAAAAAGTTAAGTACAGCCAGAGAGAAAGTTCAGGTCACCTACAAAGGGAAGCCCATCAGACTAACAGTGGACCTCTCAGCAGAAACCCCACAAGTCAGAAGAAATTGGGGGCCAATATTCAACATTCTAAAAGAAAATAATTTCCAACCTAGAATTTATTTCATATCTGGACAAACTAAGCTTCATAAGTGAAAAAGAAGTAAGATCCTTTTCAGAAAAGCAAATGCAAAAAAGTGAGGGTATTTGTTATCACCAGACCTGCTTTGCAAGTGTTCCTGAAAAAAGCAGTAAATATGGAAAGGAAGATACTTTACCAGCCACTTCAAAAACACAATGAAGTACACAGACCAGTGACACTGTGAAGCAACCACATAAATAAGTCTACATAATAACCAGCTAGCATCATGATGACAGAATCAAATTCACATAGTCAATGGAGTCAAATTGTATTTCATTTGATAGTAATTTTTCAGGGACCCTCTTTTTAAAATTGTATTTAGTTCAGCTAATAGTGAGGTTTCATATTATCGTAGCAAAACTGAGTCAATTAGAACAGTAAAGCTGCATTCTTTGGTTTTATTTATTTATTTTATTTCAATTTTTGAGACAAGTTCTTTCTCTGTAGCCCACACTGTAGTTGCATGAGCATGGCTCACTACAGCCTTGAACTCCTGGGCCCAAGTGATTCTGCTGCCTCAGCCTCCCATTTAGCTGGGACTTTAGGCACACAACAGCACACTCGGCCAAATGTCTTTTGTTTAGAATAAATATTCCCCACTTCACCGTTTTTATTCCCTTTTTTTGTTTTGTTTTAGTGTCACTTTGTCAGCCAGGCTGGAGTGCAGTGGCCAATCTTGGCTCACTGCAACCTTTGCCAC